CCCCCCCCCCGCTGGGCTAGGGGTTGAGATGTACAACTGGGTATCATTGGCATATTGGTGATACCTAACCCCAAACTGATGGATGACCTCACCCAGAAGTTTCATGTAGATGTTAAACAGAAGGGAAGAGAGCCCTGAGCCATGTGGTACCCCACAAGTGAGGGGCCAACTCTCCCTATTCACCAACACTGATTGAAACCAGCCACAGTGAGAGGAGAAGCACCATAAGATGGTGCCTCCCACCCCCACCCCTTGAAGCTAGACCAAAAGGTTACTATGGCCAACAGTATCAAAAGCCTCTGAGAGATCAAGGAGCATGAGGATGGACACACCACCACCCTCCTGGCTCCACCACAGGTCATCAGCAAGTGCAACCAATGCAATTTCCATACTAAACCCTGGCCAGAAACCAACCAAAATTGGTCCATATAATCCACTTCCCCCGGGGTCCTCTGGAGCTGAAGCCTGACTGCCTTTTCTACCACCTTCCCTGTAAAGGGAGATTGGAGACTGCACGGTAGTTGTCCAGGACTGTTGGGTCCAGCAATGACTTTCTGAGGAGAGGGCATAGAACAGCTTTCTTCAAGGCCAAGGGAACCACTCTCACTCAAAGAAGCTGACACCGCCATATGGACCCCACCACAAATCACCTCCTGGGTGGCTGTAACTGTACAGGATGAACCTGGATCTAACAGGCAGGCGGCCAAGCTAATAGACTGGAGAACACCGTCCACTTCCTCAGGAGCTGCAGAACCACACTAGCTCCAGATTACCACACAAGACCCTGCCTCGGGCACCTCAACTGGACCTGCGTATCTGAGTGATTACATCTGCCAGATAGGAAGAATATTCCTCACAGTGGCCCTGCAGAGGGCCCTGCAGCATGGCCATCCCCCACAAGGATTGGGCAGACGCAGTAAGGGTGGAGAAATAGCAAAGTTTCACTGCCCTTATTGCCACAGTGTAATTCCTAATACGGGCTCTTACTTGTGCTCAGTCAGATTCACGCTTCGTCTTCCTCTGACGACGCTCCAGGTGTCTCTTCCTGTGCTTCGTCTCCTGAAGCTCCTCGCAGAACCGATGTGCACCTCAGGATTGGTGTACGGGGAGACGCTTCGTAGAGAAAATCTGGCCTAAGGCCTCCATCCCCTGCCCCTTCCAGGTTGCGGCTGATGCTTCAGGCAAGCTGCCCACCAGACCCTCGGGGAAAACCCCAAGCTCCCTCAGGGAGCCAGCCAGGTCCATCAGACTCGTGTGCCTGAGACTTTCCTAAAGGGAAAAAGCCAGGGAGCTGAGACCCCCCAGTTGTTCACTGCCCAAGACCCCTGTAGCCCTCCTGGCTAACGCCATGCCGAGGCAGGGTTTGGGTGGCCCCTTGCACACTGAAGAGTTGGCTGTGGAAGAGGGGCCGAAGATGTGGGGTGCTGTCTTCCCAGCAAAAAGAGAGGGTTGGGCCAAAAATGAATGCAGGGAGTGAGCTGCAGAGGGACGATTGCAGGGGCACAGTCAGAGGAGTTGGGGGGTTGTGACTGAGAACCCAATATCACCCGGTGTGTCGGATTCTCTGGCTGAGCTGAGCTGAGCTGTAGTGGACAGACATTGGAGGGGGTATCTGGGGTTTTCCAAGAGTTACTACTGCAGAATTACCAAATCAGCACCTAGTCAGCTCAGCAAGCTGTAGAACAAAAAGGACAGTCTGTTGTAATAGAGCCCCTCCTCCAGAGACAGCCCTTCCTGAACGCTTATGCTATATTTGATCTGAACATTTTTTCCTCTACATGTTATGCTTTTGAAAGAAGAAAAAATATGCCAAGACGGGAAAACTCTGGTGAACTGAATTTCCAGGACTACTACAGCAATGGTGCTCTGCGTGGTGTTACTGATCTCGGATGCTATTCTGGGGCAGGAGAAAAGTTCACCCTGCCACGTGGGCTCTGGTTCTGCCTGCCACTTCCCTACAAATGCTGATCTGGTGGCACGGTTCTACCATCTTCAGCGCAAGGCGTGTCCCTGAGCCCCGTGGACAGCTCCCTTTCTCCATGTACGCACACATGTCTGTGCTGCAACTGAAAAGAGCAGATAGGTCTGCCTGTAGAGTAATTTGTCCTAGCACTTGTTTCCCAAGAATGAGAGGGAGGGAGGCTGCAACTGCGAGGTGGGGGCTCATGAGAAGCGTCTCCAGGTTTTCTTCAGGCCTGGCATTTTTGAGATGTTAAGCCAGGAAAAGGGAAGAAGATGGGGTGGGAATATTGGAGTGAAGGGAAGAATTGGCAGCAAGGGGCCCATGGGTGAAGGGAGGCTTTTGGAACACCCTTGTGGTGTTCCTCATCTGCTTCCTTGTTCCACAGTTCCTCCTCGCTTTGTGGTCCAGCCCAACAATCAGGATGGGATCTATGGCAAAGCTGGGGTCTTGAACTGCTCGGTGGATGGGTATCCCCCTCCCAAAGTCATGTGGAAGCACGCCAAAGGTATGTGGGAACTTTCCTTTGGGGTTGCAGAGGAGGGCTTCTGCATCTTGCCTGCCTACGCCCTCAGAGCGGATGGAGCAGGGTCCCTGTTTTGGCTGGTCCACAGCTGGAAGAAGACAGGCCAGCATTGAGAAGACAGCCAGAGGTGATCTGGTGGGTGGTTTGGCCAGGACAGTGGGTCCCCTCTTTTCCCATCTGGTGGACAGCCCTTTAGGGGTCTTTTTCTCTCTCCTGTTTTTTTCCAGGCAGCGGGAACCCTCAGCAGTACCACCCTGTCCCCCTGACAGGCCGCATCCAGATCCTGCCGAACAGCTCGCTGCTCATTCGACATGTTTTAGAAGAGGACATCGGCTATTATTTGTGCCAGGCCAGCAATGGCGTTGGTACAGACATCAGCAAGTCCATGTTCCTCACCGTGAAGAGTGAGTGAGGCAGCCGTGCCTGCCCTTCTCTCAGGGAGAGCACAGTTTCTGTGAGCTACAGCTTTTGTGGGCAACCAAGAGGCTGCTTTTGTTCATGGGATGAGGGCCGCTACTGGGTGCTTTGTGCATCCATTAGCTGCCGCCCCCAACATAAGGCTGTTGGCTTGGGTCTCCCTCCTTTGCACCTTTTGCCAGGTTATTTTACAAGGTCTTGGCTGCTCATCAGTTGGGTTTGTCGCCCAGCTGACCACAGGCATTGTGTGCTTGGCATATCAGATTGGTCATCTCTTGGCACCTCAGTTGCCCTGGCAAGGTCCTGGATCACTTCTGGCACTTCTCTTGCTGTCCTGGAAGTCAGTGTGCAAGGAAGGGAATGTTCTCCTGGGGATACCACTCAAAACCACTTTGACCTTAATAAAAACAGGCACCCAGTTGACCTTGAGAGGAGGCAGGGCAGGTGTCTCTAATTCCACACCTTAGACTCAGAAGCCTAGAACAGTTTGGGACCAGGTGAATGGAAAGATATGTGAGCCAGCTGGAGTAATGTCCTCTGGCATGGCACCAGGGGAAGCACTCTTGTGTCATTGAATCTCTCTTCTTTCATCCCTTGCTTTGGAGTTTAGGCTGATCCTAATTATTTTCTCCACTTGTCAGTCATTATTCTGACATTATTAAAAGCATCATTGGCTTTTTTATGTGCTCTTAGAAGACCTTCCCCCTAAGGTGATTATAGGTTGTGAAGCCCCTCTCTTTGGTTTTTGTGATCTACTCATGCCATGCTCTTGGGACTGACAGCCAGATGGGGGTTGTCTGCCAAGCTACCCCAAAGCCACAACAGTGCCTCTGCCCCATTTTGCACCCGTTGCTCACATGCTCCTGGTAGTCAGCAGGTGCATGAAGGCTTGGAGAGATGCCCTCACTGTATAAGCATGACTGATTGCTTCCATGCAATTTAAATTAATCTCATGCTTCAGGTGAAATGCAGCTAATCAGTGTAGACAAGAAACTGAAAAGGGTGCAATCAAATTAACATCACAGAGCTTGCACTTAAGATCACCCCACCCCCACTCCTGCTTTGGCTCCCTTCCCTCCCACTGCTCTGTTCTCATTTTGTTTGCTGCTCTGTTCTAGTGGGACTCAGGAGGGGGGAATACCCCGAACACTGACAATTCCCTTTGTAGCCGCCTTATCTCAGGCCACCAAATGAGACCAGCCTCTCGTCTGCATCTTGTTCACAAGGCACCAGAATGAAGAGCCTGAAAGGAGGACAGGGTTTGCTTGGTGTGGGGTGACGGCTTTTTGCAGGGGTTGTGGGAGAGATGGCATGGGCGGGTGGGCTGGCCTACAGAGGCACACCTGTGGCGCACCCTTTCATGATGAAGGGCTTACTTGCTGGGAGTGCCACAGGGCAGGCAGGCACGCTGAGTGTCTTCCTTCATCTTGGCTGTACTGAGCTATGCTCACTTCTCAAGTATCAAAGAGCGTTCCAGCAAGAGTCTGGGGCCTGTCTTGCTCGATGGCTTCATCCTCTGTCCTGTGAAGAGGTCCTCTTTTTTTCTATCCCATTATTCGAGTCTATTGGATGACCTCCAGACCTTCCTACTCACTGTCTCCTCGTCTTGTATGAACTTAGTAAGACTAAGTGGTCCCAGGGCCCATTTTGCATAGAAAAGTAGTTTCTGGGGAATCAGGGATGAGACTAAGTAGTAGTGGCCTTGGCAACCATTCAAGGTTCTAGACGGCTTTTTGGAGCAGTGCATGGGCAAAGGGTAGATGAGGGTGTGTTGCTTCTTTTCGCTTTCCCAGCTCCAGATATTTCTCTGTGATACTGGGGGCTCTTAAGATCAGCATCAGAGCTGATAGGCATTCTTGGGTGTGGCATAAGCTTCTGCTTTGGGAGGGTTAGGGTTGGGAGCTCAGTTCAAATATTTTGTTTGCAGCTAGTAACCAAGCCAAAAATTGGGGTCAGTGGATTTTTTCTTAATTTATCCAAAATATGTACGTATGTATTTATTTACAGGTCTTATATGGCCGCCTACCTCACTCAGTGACTCTAGGTGGCTCACAAGAATCCATGGAACGGAGGGGCTGGACCAGACATCCTCATAGCTCAACCCTCCATCCTGCCCAATGCTTGGGGGAACAGCCAGGTCTTCACAGCCTTCTGGAAGGCTGAAAGAGTAGAGGTCCCTCTGATCTCCATCGGGAGCCTGTCCAAAGGACTGTGCAGCCACTGAGAAGGCACGCCTCCGAGATCCCATCAGATGGCAGCATTTAAAGGGGGGACACCTGGAACGCACCCACCCTATCTAACCGAGTAGGATGGGCAGATACCCTCAAGGGGAGGTGGTCCCACAAATAACCTGGCCCCGTGCCATGTAGGGCTTTAAAGGTGATAACCGGCACCTAGAATTGCCCCCAGAAAGCAACTGGAAGCCAGTGCAGCTCACGCAGCAGTGGTGCTACTCGGGTGAGCCATGGGACACCCAAAACCGCGCATGCTGCTGCATTCTGGATCAGTTGCAGCTTCCGGATGGTCTTCAAGGGCAGCCCCATGTAGAGCACATTGCAGGAATCCAAAGTCCTCCCAGGTGACTAAGACCTCGATGACCGTGAGCAAGGCCTGTCCTTTAATAAAATCCCACGGTTTTTTTATAACCCCAAGCAAGTATGTTCTGTATTTTAATAAAACCCCATGTCAAGCCCCTTTCTCAGTAATTAAATATAAGTTGGCAAGGTGCTTAAAAGGCAGCCAACAAACTACCCCTCATGGTTACCCATTGCAGTTATTGATATAGCAATCACACGTTTGGAAGAGAGCAGAGCTCAGGCATTCATGGAAAGGGTGGCAAAGAAGGGTGGCATCTTAACTGGGACATCTCCAGAAGGAGGCTGTGATTGGCAGGTGGGCATGCTTGAGAGGGGACCCCCTTGCTGGTTGCCACCTGCATGCCTCCAGGCTCCCAGGGCAGCTGGTGAGGTCCCCTTTTGGCCTCCCCATCTTCGGATGGAGTCCCACAGCATCTTTCCTTTGTTCCCTTTCCTTCCTGGCTTCCCTCCCTTCTCTCTCTCTCGTGACCCATCGAGCCCTTTTACGGAGGTGTGGCTTCCCTTGCCATCTGGCATCCCAGGACCGTTCCTTGCTTCTGCTCTGCCAAATTGCCCAGCTGGGGCATTTCCCCTTGTGAACAGCTGGCCTTAAATGCATTGCCACGCCTTTCTTTTTGCTCGCCATTGTCTGCCCCCCGCCCTCAGCCAGCATTTTATGTGGCACTCCAGTCCTGCACACACAACTGTTTTGTGCCATGACGTGGCTCCCCCATCCATCCTTGGTTCTGTCCACATGCTGCAAATGGGAGCAAGCTGAAAGCAGCCTTTTCCCAGCTGCTAATTGAATTAGATTGCCATGGAAAGCAGAGGCGCTGTAGCTCATTAAACCCCCCAGTGCCCCATTAGAACCGTGTGGGTTGCCTTTGCAGATTGTCATTACCATACATTACAGCACTCTTCGGGTAGGCTGTGCCTCTTCCAATCTCTGCCCCCTGAGCCAGCCTGGCTGTACACTCAGCATTCCACCCTGTGCTTTTGGGATTAGCAAGGACTGGAGGGCACAGTGTGTGGTAACGTGACTTTGTGGCAACTGCCATTGTGGTGAGCAAGAAGTTCTGGCTGCAACCTGGCTGCCGCTGGAATCTTATCTGAAGCTTAATGGGCAGGATAAGCTGGGGGGCAGAGTGTTTGGTACTGGAAGGAGCCTTGGCACGTAAGGAAAGACGTAGCTGGCAGCCAAAGCAGGCCATGCAAGAGCAACAGAGACCAGAGACTCAGAGTTCAGAAAGGAAAAGAAAAATGCCTGCCCCCCAAGGCCTTCAGCTCAGCCTGGAATCTGCTTGCCCTGTTGTGCATCTGTGTGACAGAGAGCCCATCCATCCATCCATCCATCCATCCATCCACCCACCCACCCACCCCCCCATCCATCCATCCATCCTGCAAACTCAGGTTTTGGCCACCCACGTGGTCTCCTGCACCCACGCAAGCTTTCCTTGCTCTCGCTGCACTGCGGCTGCCCCTGCATTTGCAGGCACCAGGGTCACCAACCGGGCCCCTGGGACCCGCAGCACCCATCCCCAGCGTCATCTACCAGAATGTGCTCTTTGATGGCAACTCGCCTCTGATTAAATGGAGCAGGAGGATCATTAAAGGGTGTTTACTCGGAAGGGTGCCTGCAAGCCCATTTTACCTGAACTACCACAGGATGAGTTTCCAGGCCCCTCTGCTAGAAAGCAGAAACAGAGATGGGCCGTTTGGGCTCACAAACTCTGGGGTGGCCAGGCCCAGGCTCTTGTGTAGAGAAGGAGGGAAAGAGAATAGATTTGTTGCATTTTCTCATCTCGTTTGTTTCCATTTCTGCCACCCTTCCCAACGTTTGAGAACCCCCCTGCCCTGCTGGGGTCTCCCAGTTCCACCTGCTTCTGCACGTTGGCTTGGGCTTCTTTGCCTGGAAAGGCCTTGCATTGACTTCTGCCGATTCCCCCCCTCCCCTCTCCCCGCACCTCCAGCCCAGAGCTGTGAACAGTTGTTGCATGCCGGCTGTCTTACTATTTCAGCTTCCGTGTAGGCCCCCCATGCTGACACTGCCATCAGCCAGTTTCCCGTCGTCAGCTGATGCCTGCAGTACATAGGACCTTGGAAGCTACGTGCACTGCAGCTGAAGAAAGCAACGGAGGTCCCTCTGTTGCCCCAAACCCTGGCCCGTTTGATCCTAATGACCAAGGAGTGGGAAGGTCCCCTTGGGAAGGGCTCTGGATGAATGGCCAAGCAAAGGCCGGAGGGTTAGAGCCCTCAGGGGCTGGCCTTGGTCACGGCTTTCGTGTCCGCGGCTGCAAACAACCTTTGGAACTCCGGAGTGAAAGGTCCCCCTTCGTGGGCTTTTGCTCAGATGCTGATTAGGCTTGGGTTCCATCTCAAGCCAAGTGTCTGTCTCGTAAAACCTCCCCGGTATTCTGGCCAGTTCCTCAGGGTGAATTATGCAGATCTCTGTTGGAAAAAATATTCCAGGGCACATCCTTGAAAGTGTAAAATCTTAGTCAATAATTCATATGCGCTTCACTGTGGCTGCAGCTTTTTCATGGTTATAACTTGTACTTGGTTATTTGTCTTTCACAATTTATTGTAGATTCAGATGTACTACTATGCATTATAAAATGTATCTGCTCCATTATTCAATGATCCTGAACTGTGTTCTGGAAGACAGTGGTGTTCCTTCTAGGTGCAGTGTTTGCGTTCTTACTCCTTGGCTAAGAACAAGCAGGTGGCCTTTAGCCAAACCGTAGTCCTGTCCCAGGTCACCAAAGCATGGGACCCTCCCCAGGGCTGGGAGTGGGCTTTGGGCAGCGCTGATCATTTGCTTACGTGCATCTGAAGGCCAGAGGTTTTTGTGGTTTCCTCCAAATTGATGCTGGGCAGGAAGGAATAATGGATTCCCCCCTTATTTTCCTCTCCTGGGCTGGTGCCTCAGAGAAAACAACTCTCCCCTCCAAGTTTTTGTGGTCTGGAGAGGATTGGCCTCTAGGGTAAAGAAAGGCAAGGGGAGGTGAGCATCTCAGAGCAGCCCCCTCTTGACTGATATTTTTTTAAGGGCTAGTTATAATGTTGTATTTCATCTTCCATGTTTGCGTTAGCCTCCTTAGGAAACATTTGGAGCAGAAAAGCAGGGTCATCCCCCCAAACATGAGTCTGATAAAGGCTAAATGGCAGATTTTTCTTTATGCTCTCTAGTGGTAGATCTGGTGAACAGATCTTGCGGATCTAGTGAACTTAAGGCTGGAGCTCTCAGTTGCAAGGGTAGATATGTTACATAAACGTGCAAACATGTTCCTCTTTAGCAAAGTGGATACCTCAAAGGCGCTGTTTGTCTGAGTGAGGATGCTTTCCCCACATTGGGAAAGGACTGCCAGAAATTTTTGTAGAGCATGTCCCTCATAAGTGGAACCCTGTTGCAATCTCCAGATCTTCAAGCTTCCACCTGTATGGTTCAAGTTTCTTAGATGCTTTTTAGTTTCTTTTCTGCAAGAGTTATGCTGTACAGGTAGTCCTTGACTTACAACCATTTGTTTAATGACCATTTGAAGTTACGATGGCACTGGAAAAAGTGACTTACTACTGGTCCTCACACTTACGACCATCGCAGCATCCCCATGGCCACGTGATCAAACTTTGGGTGCTTGGCAACTGGCATGTATTTACAATGGTTACAGTGTCCTGGGGTCACATGATTGCCATTTATGACCATCCCAAGTGGCTTACGACAAACAAAGTCAATGGAGGAAGCTGGATTTGCTTAATGACCACATTATTTGCTTAACAACCACAGTGATTCACTTAATGACTGCAGCAAAACAGGTGGTAAAATTGAGTGCAACTCATTTAATGACCGCTTTGGTTAGCAACTGAAGTTCTGGTCCCAATTGTGGTTGTAAGTCGAAGACTACCTGTAACTATAAAAAAAATCTAAGTACTTCTCAGGTATCATCACCTCCCACTGTCCAAATATTTTGATTCAGAGGAAATCATAACGAGCAATTAAGACCTTATCAGGCTTCCTTGTGTGCATGCTGAGTGTGCACGGTTTATCTTTTTATGTGGGAGTACTTCCTTCCCTACTCCGTCCTCTTATAACTGTATATTTATATGTCTGTGAAAATATTTTACATGGAATTATTTTAATTTATAGTAATTTGTACTTCAATTCCTCTTTCCTTTATTTCAATTATGCTCCATATTAAATCATTCTGAAGATAGTATAGAAATTGATGAAATAATTACATTGATCAAAAGCCTGTCTATTCTGTTCCTGTTCCTTGGAAACTGGTAGTTTCTGACAGAGAGTTTCTGATACTGGTATTGAAGGTAATTTGGAACTGGCCAAGTTGGTAGCCCTCCACACATCCTGTGGTAGCTGACGGAGTAGTCCTGCACTTGGCATTTGATTCCAAAGTGCTTTGGAGTGTGCAAGAGTGAATAATGGCACCATCTGCAGCTCTGTCCCTCAGGAACATTTGGAAGCTGTAGCTGGTCCAGGATGCAGCTGGGGTGTGGGCACGCCATGGTATGCCCATGTTACACCTCTGCTTCGTGAACCGAACTGGTTGGCTCCCAGGTGCCCTTCAAGGCACAGGCCTGGTTATCTAAAGGACTGGATGTCTTCTGTGGCTTCTGCCCAGCCTGCACGAACAGGCAGAGTTGGCATGCTTCACGTCCCTTCCATTCTGCAGTGTCATCTGATAGGACCTGGGAAGCATGCCTTCTGTATCGCAGGTTCTGCTTTCTTGGACACTGTCCCCTGGCCCTGTTAAATGACCCCTTCAAACCTGGGTCTTCCCCCTGGCCTTCGGTTGCAGTGGTCACCCTTTGCGTGGTTGTTGGTTTCTACGGGCTTTCTTCTTTTTCGATTATTTACGTTAGTTTTTATTGGCTTCTTTTGCAAATTGCCCAGAGTTCTGACAGATGGGGGTGGGGGCGTGTAGTTTTCATAAACGAACTCTTTAAAGTAAACATACAGTTGCCATTTGACCTAGGAAAATCCACCCCTGCTTTAAAGTACCTTTTTGGAATTGTATCCAAAGAACAGCACAGCCCACAGTTTGCAGTGCTTTGTGCTATCTGTCTTGAATTTCTCACTGTTCTTGGACCATTGCTTTGGGCTGTGATGTGAGGAAAGGAGAAGACAATTGTGAGTTGATCCCATGTGGTTCCTTGGGCACTGCCTGTGTCAGCCCTTCCTTCCTGCTTCTCTGGCGAAGGACTTTGGGAGCATCCGTCCCTTTCCTCAGCTGTTCCTCTCTTGCAAACCACGCAGGCAGGCATCTCTTCTTTCTCTTCTCTCGGCAGTCCCAGCTATGATTACCTCCCACCCTAACACCACCATCGCCATCAAGGGCCAGGCCAAGGAGCTGAATTGCACAGCTCGTGGTGAGCGGCCCATTATCATTCGTTGGGAGAAAGGGGACACCGTAATTGATCCCGACCGCAACATCCGATATGCCATTGCTACTAAGGATAATGGTGACGAGGTCATCTCCACACTCAAAGTAAGAAGCATAGCTGTGGTGCAAAGCGGGGTGTGGACAGGGCTGCATTTGGGCCCCTGACATGCTGGGATTTGCGGGCTTCTTGTGGCAAGAGAGACCATCGCCAGCCTGGAGTTTGTGGACCACCCATGGGGGCAGGAGGGGGAGTGCAACTTTCCTTTGGTGCGAAAACTCCAGTTTGCTGTCTTGTCCGGAGATCTTTGGGGGAATGACATTGAGTTTTGAGCTAGTGTTGCCTTGTCCACAGCTCAAGCCAGCTGAACGAGGAGACTCTGTTTTCTTCTCCTGCCACGCGATCAACTCCTATGGTGAAGATAGAGGACTCATTCAGCTTACTGTACAAGGTATTGGTCTTTGTCAGGTGTCTATGCATGCATGCAACAATGCCTTTTGTGGAGACCTTTCAGACACTGCTAGCAGCTTTGGTGTGTAGCTTCTGCTGGGGTTATCCCCAGTTTTTATGACAAGGGATGCTTTGGGGGTTGCAGACCATCAGCAGGCCTTTGTTGACCACATCTTAGTAAAGCTGCTATTAGCAATAGAAACTTAAGGGAGTCAGCCCAATATCTAATTTCTCATGGACAATTTTGTGAGGAAAGTAGGACTTGAACATGGATTTAAAATAATTAAAATATGTCTGATTCCCTGTTGAGGTCTTTCAAGCTAAACTTCCCCCTTCTATCTGTGCCTAGATGTCCTCAAGGAATTCAAATGCAGAGTGGGGATGGAAGGGTGCTTCTTCCCGCACCCGCACGCCCATAATCAATGCCCAGATTTTGGAAGATGGCAAGCTTCTGCTCGCCCTCAGTCAAAGTGCCTCCGTTCTACAGAGATCAATCGTGTCTGAATGGGGTTGGCATTACAGCTAGGGAGTACATGGAATTCTAGCAAGGGGCTTCTGAGGCTGGACAGATTTCCTTGGTTGAACTTTGCCCCCATGAAGATGTAGTTCAGTGACCCACATCATGCTCTTGTGAGCTGTGCTTAGCAATTGTCCCCTTCATCCATCATCCAGTGTGCCATAGTCCTTCCAAAATGATCTTCCCTCTCAGCTTTTACGCATTGTACAGTTTGTTTGATATGCAATTTCAGCTTATTCACTATTTGATATATAAACTTATTTTTGCCTGCATTTTCAAGAAAACCTGCAGAACATGGAAGTCCTTCTTGGCATCTCTGCCCTTTTTGCTGATTTTCCAACTGTTTCATTTTCTGGGTTGGAGGCTAATGGTCTGGCAAGCCAGTGGATGCTTGTATGCTGTGTGTGGGGAACTGGCATTTCCTGTTTCTTACTGCAGTCCCTCTGCCCCCTCCCCCCAGAACCACCAGACCCTCCAGAACTGGAGATCCGAGAGGTGAAGGCCCGGAGTATGAACTTACGGTGGACTCAGAGGTTTGATGGCAACAGCATCATCACAGGCTTCGATATTGAGTACAAGAACAAGTCTGGTGAGCAGAACTGGTGATGTTCTGAGTGCAAACAGGAGTCGGGAAGTGCCTTGCTTAAGACTTGTGCATTTAAAAAAACATTTATTACTACTGAGACCCAGAAAGTGAGAGAAATTCAGCTTGAATGGAATGTTGGCTTGGTTGGCCTTGAACCACTGCACTTTGCCACTACTGGCAAAGTGCAGTGCCAGTAAAAAAGGTGTTTTAAGAAAGAGGCGTAACTAAAGCTTCAGATTTGCCCCAAATCACAGAAAGGGGCCCTGTGAGTGTGGGACAGGGGGAGACTTCCAGCTGAAGTGGCCAATGTAAACAGGAAGGAGGCTTTTGAAAAAGGAGTGTTATATATTCCAAGGGCACTTTTGCTCCTTGAAGTCTAAACTGGCTGCGAAGTGAAACTGGTTTCAGAAGGTCTTTTCTGGACTTCGCCTCTTCCTTGCTTTGGCCATGGTTCTGTCTAGACCCTTTGCCTGAACTGGTGGACTCCCTGGTCATTCTCCTTGAGGATGTGTGGTTTCCGCTGGACTTGACATCCTCTCACATCCACAGTTGGACCGGAGAAACACCGCAGTTCTCCCGTTTTTCCTGCCACTTGGGCTAGAAGGGGAGAGTGGCAGATACCTTGTCAGCTTCACTAGTAGAAAAGACAAGTCCACCCTTTTGTTCTTTCAGCACTGAGCTGGGGGAAAAAAAGCCAGTTGGGGTTTCACTGTTCTATCAGCGACCCTGTTAAAAACAACAGCCACGTTTTTCACCGTTCCACTTGTGAACTTGTAAAAAGCAATGAGGCGGTGTTCCTGCTGCAGTGAGGAGGAGCTGCTGGGAGGGGAGGGTCGGCGCCTGCAGGAAAGCTAGGGGAAAATGGAAGAGCTGTGGTGCTTCTGTGGTGGCCCGTAACTGGGCTGGTTCAAGCTGGCTGTGGGTTCAGCCCTGAAACTGCTGGTTCCTCTAGCTGGATTGCGAGTGGCGAATGAATGTGTCTGGTGGAAGAGAGCAGCGAAGCATCTGCGCAGACTCTTCCGTGAATAGGCGTTCCAGTCCATTCCTAAATGCTACCACCAAATGCCAGGGAAAGCTCCAGTGGGGTGGGGTGAGCCACCTGCAGGTCACACAGGGCTCTGGAACTTTTTCGCAGAAGTTGAGGCACCAAGTTTCATTGAACACTGATTAGAAAAACGGAATGCAATGAAAGATAGCCTGGGGAGAAAGATTGTGCCAGAGGCTTCAGAGAAAAGAGGAAGTAGATGCGCGGGGACAAAATTGGGCAGAGTCACTTGAGGAAACAGCAGACCTGCCAAAGCCACAGTGGGTGGCAGTAGGTCTGGAAGTCCAAGAGGGTGGGTGGGAGTGCTCAGAGCGGGCAGGACTCAGAAGACTGCTTCGAGCGTGAAGATAATGCTTTTCTCAGGCTGCACTCTTAACAACCGCAGCTTCCTTCACTACTTGTCTGTTGAAAGAGCAGAAACAGAAGATTTGATGAATGGGAATGAGGACTTGGTTTTGCTGTTCTTGAGTGTTTCTGTGGAATGTCAGCACCTCTTTCTCTGTCGTGTATCTGGTAGTGAAATCCGGCCGGCACAAGGCCTGTCAATAGCCCCCCAGGGCGGACTTCAGCCCCTTGGTCAACATTATTGTAACTTTTTCTTTGCATCTACTTTGACTGATGTTTCTCTGTCTTAGCCTGCAGCCTCTGAGGAGCATATAATTTTAGAGGTGTGAGCAGAAAGCTCAAAAATAAAGCCTCCCCCGCCTTCCCAATTATTTGTGATTTCAAAATGTCATACCCGTGCAGCTGGGCATGGAACTCTGGATCAACAAATTCCTGAAGCCGTTCTATTTATTTCCAGATTCCTGGGACTTTAAGCAATCTACCCGGAACATCTCTCCCACCATTAACCAGGCCAACATTGTGGACCTTCACCCGGCCTCCGTATACAGCATCCGCATGTTTTCATTCAATAAGATTGGCCGCAGTGAGCCAAGCAAGGATCTGACCATCAGCACGGAGGAAGCAGGTGCCCCTTCATCTCAGGGCTGCAGCCCTATTGCATCCACAGGATAATTTACAGAACAAATAGGATGATGGGGACAGTGTGAGAAAGAGAAGTAAGGGAGGCTGAGGAACACACCGTGCGGTCTGTGCTTAAGACCCATTTCTTCTTTGCCCGCCCTTTTTCTGCCTGAGAGTCTGTTGTCCTCACCTAAAAGTCTTGACTCCATAGACAGGATTCGGCGGCCGGGGGGCGGGCACTGCTTAAGCCTCTGTTGCAGCAGTGGGTGTGTGAGGGCACCTGTCAGGTTGGCAGAAGTCCTTGTTCCTTGGGGCTAAAGCCGTTTGTTTGTTTGTTTTCTTGTGTTGATCCTGTCAGGAAGATCTCTTTCTCAGCTGGGAGCCAACTGTGTTAATCCGTTCCTCAGAAACAACTGGGCCTTGTGTCACTTTAAAAGCTTGGCCAGTATATTGTTCAATAAAAATATTTGTTGAGTGGCATCCATTTGATAAAATGACTCATGTCAAAATAAACAGGTCTGTCTTCCAAAGTGCCACAGAATAATTATTTTTCAGCATAAGTTGTGGTCTCTGGCATTCTGTGAGGTTCACCTTCTGAGCTGAAGAACTCTGTGGGTTTTCCAGTTATCTTGGAACTCTGTTGCTTGCTACCTTCACTACTGGCCCTTCTCTCCGCCACCCCGCCCCCTTCACGGCAAGCTAAAACAACTGCTGCCATATCTGGAGTTCATAGGACAGATGCCCAAATCCATTCTACTAGATTACGTTCCCCTGGCATTGAAGAGGCACGAGCCATAGGTATGCAAAGCCATAGGAGTCAGAGATACATCACATCCAGGGCACTTCCTTTCTCTGCCTTTCAAGGACTGGGAACAAAGAGAGAACCTCTCTGTGCAACTTGTAATGTGACTTCTACTCTTTCAGCTCCTGATGGCCCCCCGCTAGATGTCACCTTGCAGCCAATGACATCCCAGAGTATCCAGGTCACCTGGAAGGCAAGTGTGTGTGTGTGTGTGCCATGCTTGAATGAGGGCTGGGATCAGTTGGATCAGATCAGTTTATTTGAACTACCAAAATAACAGCTCAGGACCACACTAATTGGGAACAAGGCACGGTCCAGTGGCTGATGTGGTGCAGGAAGAAGCTACTCTTGTCCTTTCCCCAGGAGACAAGTCCGAGAAGGAGAGCTCCGGGCTGGCCCCTATCCCTGCTCTTGTTTTGGACTCTGGCCCTTTGACACCTGGGGCAAAACGGGGGATGCAGTCTAGAGGGCAGCAGGGAGGAGACCCTGTGGCTCCTAGTGTTTGGCCCACCAGCCTTTACTGCTGGCTTGCAACATGCTGAGATTCATGCAGGTCACTCCATAGCCTCTGTTTCAGTGCAGCTGCTGTGGTGGCTGCCCATTTGACTGTGAGCTCTGGCTGGGTGATGTGGGCAGGGCATACTGGCACCGAGCTGCTCTGCGTTTCTAGGACTGGGTATACTCAGACTGGGAGTCTTGGGTCCAAGAAAGTGTCTGTCTGTCTCCCCTCCAGATCATGTTTCCAAATCAAATGTATTAAAATCCCTGATACCACGGATTCAAATCAGAAAGAAGCAGTTTGTGAGAAGTAGACTTGATCTGTGGGATATACAGTAAAAACCAAACCCAAATACCAAATCTCCTATTGCAGTGAGATTAGGCAAAGGTTCCTGGCTGAACTTCATTAGCGTTTGAACCAGGTCTCCAAGTCCCTGGGGATTCCCAGCCCTGCTGGAGCACAGTTCTCACACTAGACTCTCCTTAGGCAGCTGTGGCTGGACCCCTGCCCTTACATTAGGTAGCCTTGAGAATGGGATCAGACCAGTAGAAGAGAATAGATGTAGCTCAGGGTTGAACAGTAGAGCTCTTGGGGTTCTCTGGGCTTGTCAGCCAAGCTCAGAGAACCCCAAGGACTCTGCAGAAGCAGACAGGGAAGCCGGAGGTGGGGACCCAGTTGTCTGCCTGCCACAGTGGGCCTAGGCAAAGGGCGATGTCACATTGACCCTGATGTATTTCCCAGAATTGTGTAACGGAAAGTAAAACGGGTTAGCAGGCTAGAATCAGAATGAAGTGGCTGGTCGATATATCTAGGGTTCCAGCATTGTTTGCTGCTTCTCCAGGAAACACTCCAATGTGAAATAGATTGACCAAAAATAAGGTTTGCTTGAAACACAAGTCAATCCATGTTAAGGCTGTTTGGCAAGATGAGACTATTCCAGCTTTGCAATATATATTTGCAATCAGCTCTATTGATTTGTCAATGCTTCAAAGAAATCTTGTTAGGATTGATTTTAACCCAGCCATCTGTATTTTTTAATCTGGCAAGGCTGGGTGTGTGTGCGTGGCATCTGTGTGCTTTGCACAGTTGTGTGACTTACCTAATTTTCGAACTGTTCTGATCTGTTTCCTATCAACTACAATCACTTTACCAGCTAATCACAGTTAGTTGTCTTCTTGGATGGTTCCAGCCACAGAATTATCAGGACTGTTTGATTACTGCTTGTGTGCAGTCCACAGAATATTTAAAGTACACACCAAAAATGCTATTCTGAAATAGGATTCTGTCTTTGAGCCCATCTAACCTGAAATGCTTGTGGTCCTCTGGTAGAGCAGGGGATGGAGACATTGTTCAGAGGACTGAATCCGCTTCAGGGCCTTTCCTGCCCCTACCAACAAGCTGCTAACTCTAAAACGCTGAAAATCAACCAATGATTTTTGCTTCTCCTCAGAATGAGTGAACAGGAGCACACCATCGCTTCCTGTACCTTGCTGATTTTGTCCAGAAGCAGTTGGAGATTGTCAGTTAGGGCTAGGTGCAGTCTAGCTGAGCAGACCCTCTTCCTGGTTTTGTATAGCTAAACCTGCTAGCTATGGGCAGACTGGTGCGGCCTCCAGGGAGCCTAGGGTGTCCATGATAGCTTGCACAGTGATAGAAATCATACGTACACGTTGGGTAGGTGAGCCATTGTGGAGAGGTGGAGCGCATGCTTTATTTATTTAATAATCATTTATTAAATTCATATGTCCTCTGACTCCCGGTGATTCTGGGACTAATATTTATTTATTTCCCCATTTTCTAAGGCTGCCCACTTGCCAATGACTCTGGGCAGCTTACAGAAGGTTAAATGACGATTTAACAAGTAATAACTATCAGTTGCAGTCTGAGTTCTCTCCCAGTGCCCCAAAGTCTATGGGGGTCTGGACAGGGAAGAATAGGTTTTTACTCAACCCCCACAAGACTGAGAGGCTGTGGTTTTGCCCCCCCACCCCAAGAGTTCCAATGATTTACCATCTTTGATGCTGAACAGTGTAGCACCCTCCAGAGTTGATGTGCAGTTTGGTGGTCCTTCCAGACTTATAGTTCCTGCTTGAGGAGCACGTGGCAGCCGGGCCCAGGAAGGCGTTTGCACAAATCCATCTTGTGCACCAGTTGTGGCCTTTCCTGCAATGGAGGACCTGCTTATGGTCTCTCCTGCCTTCATTACCTCCCATCTGGACTGCTGCAGTGTGTCCTATAAGGGCATTTGGAAGCTGCAGCAGGTCCAGAGTGCAGCAGTGAGGTATGCCATGGTATGCCCATGTAATGCCACTGCTTTGGAGGCTGCATGGACTCCAAGTAGGCTTCCAGGAGCAATTTAAGATGCTGATGGTTACTAGGAAGCCTGACATTCCCACAGGGTTATTTGTGGGAATGTCTGGGTCTGTCCCACCAGATCTGGCAGGGTGGGCACGCTCCAGATCCCTACCATTATGGGATCAATTAACAACCTGGCTCCAATCTGTTAGCTTTCTGGAAAACCTAGAGACCTGGCTTTCCTGCAGGCATTGGGGTCAGGTTGTTTGCTGAGACTGGCATGTACAGGATTGGGAGACAGTTTCTAGGGCCCTTGGCCGTGTTGTAGTATTGTCTTTTCTAGGTATTATTATTATTTATTAAATTTATATGCTGCCTGACTCCCAGCGACTCTGGGTGGTTATTTTAAAAATAGATAGATAAATAAAATAAGCAAAAAAAAAAAAAAAGCCACACTGAGGAGACAGCTCTGTTTGCAGAAAGTTCCCCCCTTGAATCTTCAGTTGAAGGAATAGATTGAATAGGTGAGGCAGGGGCCCCACTTGGGCTGTGCGTTGCCCGGGGCCCCAGTGCCCCGGTCTCAAGAGGAGTGTGAAAACAGCAGTGCTCTTGCCTCGCCCTAAAGCCAAATGGCATCCATGCCAGAGGTTTTGGCACTAAAGATCCCCCCCTCACCTCAGAGTCCTTCTTCCTGGCTGAGTGCCCAGGAGGGCTTCCACTTGCCCATTTTTTCGGTGGCCATTCTGCTGGGCCCCTGTTCTTGGACCTGTGGCAGCATCTCAGGAACAACCGTTCCACCTTTCTCACGATGGGTTCCTGTCATCTCGAGCACGTGGATGTAAGGGGGCCAGGCGACTCCTGGGCCATTCAGGCAAGCCTGGGCATCCATTGGTTGGAGCTGGGGTGGGAATGCGGGCAGCTGGTGTTCCGATGGGGGAGTTATTCCCCTTCTCTCACCCTGGGCCTGTCAGCCACAGTCTGACTCCCTTGGGACTCTCCTTCCTCCTCCCCTCCCTCTCCAACCCTGTAGGCCCCAAAGAAAGAGCTCCAGAATGGGGTTATCCGAGGCTACCAAATTGGCTACCGGGAGAACAGCCCAGGGAGCAGTGGGCAATACAGCATTGTGGAGATGAAGGCCACAGGGGACAGTGAAGTGTACACCCTCGACAATCTGAAGAAATTTGCCCAGTATGGTGTGGTGGTGCAGGCCTTCAACCGGGCAGGCACTGGCCCCTCATCCAGTGAAATCAATGCCACCACCCTGGAGGACGGTGAGTACCCAAGACTGCTTGGCCGTTCGGCTGCTGCTGCATTTTATTTCAGTTCAGCCAGGCTGTCACGCAAGATGCACCCCTGCACCTGAAGGTGCTGCTCTGTCCCCAAAGGCAGGCCTATTGTGGCTCTGCTTATTGCCCGCTTGCGTCTGTGGTGCCCTTGGGCAAATGGGTGCCTGCCTGAGGAGGTGCCCTCTGGCAGTTCCCTCTTGTCTCCTGGCAACACATTCCCAGGATGTAGCCAAGATCTCACAAAGCATTGTTCTTCCGCTTTCCACGCACAGGAGGATTTTATCTGTTCCTTCGTCAGAAGGCAGAGATACTTGGTGGGAGAAGCCTGCGGGCTCCCTGACTCTAAACTGGTGTTTGTAAATTTCCAGGAGTTTTAGGGTTCTAGGTGCCTGCAAATAGGTGGCAATTTCTCTGTGGGAGCTGGAATAAAAGATGGTCACCATCCTGTGGTGGTCACCATTAAGCTAAGCGGCGTGAGACTGTGTGCGCGAGAGAGAGCCTTCCCTCCCATTTCCAAGGTTGGCACAGGATAAAACCCCTGAACTGGAATAGCCTCTTCTCTCCTTGGTATTAGGGTGGCATCTAGAGGTAAAAGGGCCCGTATAGGCTGGCTTAGTTATTCAAGGGCAGCCTGATTTCCGTGACAGTTGATGCCCTGTGCTCCTCCTTCCCCCAGGGGCATCCTGGGCCTTGCTTGCGTGCTGCTCTTGCGTGCCATCCCTCAGCACCCCGATTTGGGCTGGAGAGGCGGACGTCCAATCCATTGTGCCGCCTTCGGTGGTTTCCAGGGCCCACGCAGCTGCCACCCCGTCTCTATGCTCTCCTTGCTGTGAGCTACTCCTCCACCCTAGCCTTGTGTGGAATACAGCAGGTGGCACTGCCAAGGAGGAGCCCTGTTGTGCCAGCTGCTGCCTCCCCTTTCCTCTGAGGATTTTCCACAAGTTTTCATGAGGGACAGATCGGCGCTGGCTTTGGAGCCATTTTGAAAACAAAATAAAAGTTTCTTCCTCGTTTGTTCAGCAGTTTTTCATACTTAATTAAGGCCCTCATTAGCCTGTCAAAGCATGATCATTTCCTGGCTAGATTAGCACTCCTCCTGGGGTATTCAAGGGCCCCTGTTTTAGCAATGGTGTTATTTCCCATAATTATATTACCTTCATTTTCTTCAAACGGACTCTCTATTAGTTTATAACACCCAGCCCCTAATTACACCATGCATTCAGCTTTATACCTAAATAAACTGAAACAATCATCCTTTTCCGAGTGGATCATTAGGATGATATATCATCATTTAAATGCTCATAAAAATTAGAGATCTCTCTTTGGGGGCAGCGGGCTCTCATTACCTCTACCCCAATCACTTGCTAAGTCTTTCCTTCTCCAAGCAACTGCACAACGTTGTGGGTCTGGCAGAAAGTGCTACTGTAGAGACCTCACCCCTGGCATGTGCCCCTCGGGATTCCAGAAACCATGGACTGACCTGGCAAATGAATCTGTGGCTTTAGGCAGCCAGCCTGTTTGGAGTAGGCAACCTGGAACCCCTGCCAGGGTGCTGTGGGGACCAGGGATATCCCCTTTTAATGTGTTTCCGTATTCAGTGCCCAGCCAGCCCCCTGAAAACGTGAGGGCCTTGTCCATCACTTCTGACGTGGCCGTCATCTCATGGTCAGAACCCCCACGGAGCACCCTCAATGGCATCCTGAAGGGTTACCGTGTCATCTTCTGGTCCCTCTACATGGATGGTGGTGAGTTGGGAGCAATGTGCTCCGTGCCTCATTTATTTCATTTTCACTATTTGAATTTATTATAGCATTGTATCTAGATGGCAGGCGGCTATGTTTCCTCCACTAACACATGAGACTTTCAGATGGCTTGTGCCAGAAGCGACGTTCTTCTACCCTCCCGCTGGATACTGGAGGCCCAGCTGGTGCTGCCTGTCACTCAGTGCCTCTCACATCATGGCAAGATGTGGGAATCCAACTCCACTCTGTTTTGGGGACTTCTTGCAACTATTTGTCTTGTTCCGTCTGCATCTCAGTATCTGGCTATTGCTGCATTTAGCACAATGTGGCCACAGTGTGCCTTCTCAGGAATGCCTGTCATCACCCTGCAGACCGTGGTGCTCCTTGCACCCAGCAGAAGTGGCCGCTTGGACTATGGAAGGGAGAGCAGACACCCTGCCTGAGCCCTGGAGGCTCCCCCGGCTGGGCTTGTGGCAAATGGATCAGGGTCGCTGTGCAGGAAGTCCTGGGGGTGTAAGCCAGTGGTTCTCAACATGGGCCACGTGGTCCCCAGGGCCATGCCATATTTCTAGGGGGGGCACAGTACGTTTCTGGGGGAGCCTCCATCCTCATTCTCTGCTAATTTCAGCAGCATAACTATTGAAATTTACCACAGTTTACAATCTACAATACAGTTTAGAGCAATAAACAAGTACCTTTTTTTTCTCTAGCAAACAGTAACTATGAGGGGGTTTACCGAGGTAAATGAGTCTCAGAAGCAGGCCACGATCCAAAAAAGGTCGAGAACAGCTTCTTCTCTCCTTGGTCTCCAGCATGCAGTGCGGACTTACTGTTTTGGGGGATTCTCTGGGCATGGCTAAGAACAGGCTGGATTATTAGATGGGCCTTTTAGGTGGTGGCGGCAGCGGCAGCGGCAGCAGCAACGGCTGTGTATGTGTGCGTGCGTGCATGCGTGCATGTGTGTGTGTGCGCACGCTTCCAGAGAATATGGCTGGCCCTTGAGAGGGTTCCTCAGCTGTTTTCGGGGGCCTTCCAGCCTTGAGATCCTTCTGTGAGGCTCTGGGCGTTGTGTCCTTTTGCGGGAAGGAGCAAGCTGGAGACGGGAGGGCAGCGCCTCCACGAAGACGGTGGTTGCAGGGGAATAGCTGCACTGTGTCTCGGCTTTGCCCCTGGGCTGGGTAGCAAGGGGCAGCTTTGGGGAGCTGGCTGCCCCTGGTCCATTTGTGGGGCTTTGGGCAGCTTCCAGCCAGATCCCCAGGCCGCTTTGCCCCCGTCTGTAGGGGGGTTCGCTGGGAAGACCAAGCAACAGCAGGCCGCGGAGGGCAGCGGGAGCCGGCCTGTCTCCTGCACGGGGTGTTCTTGCTTCCCATGCAGAGTGGGGGGAGATGCAGAACGTTACCACCACTCGGGAGCGAGCAGAGCTGCGTGGTATGGAGAAGTTCACCAACTACAGCGTGCAGGTCCTGGCCTACACCCAGGCAGGTGACGGGGTCCGTAGTAACGTCCTCCACATCCAGACCAAGGAAGACAGTGAGTGCTGCCCGGGCTGTATGGCCCCTGGGTGGGGCGGGTGGGGGGCGTCTGTGCCTTGGCCTGCGAAGAGCATTCCTACGAGGTCTGTATGGGAGACGGCTGCCCGCTTTGGGCTTGTGGATGACTCTGCCTCGCTAGGATTGCCGGGGCCTCTTCCTTTTTTTCTCCCTTGCTCCTGAGATGGGGGAACAGAGCTTTTCACCCCATGTATCTCAGTAATGCAGCCTCTTCTGCCACATGCCGGGGTCAGCCTGTCCCTCTGGAGTGGGTGGGGTTGGCCTGTTCCTGCTGTGACACTGGGCATGGTCCTCTGCTCTCCCTCAGGGGAGGAGACAGTGTGTCTTTTGGACAGCAGGAGAGAGTCAAGGGCTGCCGGGTGCTGGGGACTCTAGAGAAGCCAAGTGGCCGCAAGGCTTGGAAGGAGGCAGGACAGAGACCTCCAGGGTGGAAGGGAAATAGAATCCATAAGGAGCAGCCCATCGAGGGAGGATGTCAGGACCTGAAAGGCCCTCTTGAGCATATGACACCCGGCAGCTGTGGTCTTCCTCTCCTGATGTGGACTTTCCTAGGTCAAAGAGGCCTTCTTTCGTTTGCACCAACATGAGTGTAGATATATCACCAGGCACCCTTGTGAGCATGGGAAGATTGAGCCAAGGTGCTCTTCCTATGTCCTGCTGGGTTTGGCTGGCCAAGGGACCTCTGGTCGCCTGCCTTTTGGTGACCTGCAGGTCCACAGGACAGGAAAGGGATGCTTGATCTGGGCTGTGCTCCAGCCCCCCACTTCAGGGGAGGGAAATGTTGAGGGCGATGAAGCAGAGCCAGGAGGAACTGGGGTTTCCTTCGAGCTGTGACATGATTTGAATGGTGGGCTAGGGTGCTTAGTGTCAAAGGGGTTGGACTGGCACTGGGGAGGCCCAGGTGAAGTCCACCCTCAGTCCTAGAGGCTCTCTGCGTGACTTTGGACCAGTCATTCTCCACCTTTCAGGGTTGCTGTTGTGCAGAAAAATGAGATATAGTGCATTAGGAATGCCTCCTTGAGGTCCCGAAGGAAGGCATGACATCAGTCTAACAAACAAATGTCAGTTTTAGGACTTGAGCTGGTCTTCCTTTGCTTCCCACCTCAAAATGCCGGTCGCAGCCTGAGGAGGCTTTGAGAGCTTTGAGAAGGAGCTGAGGCAGAGGCAGAGGCTGGTCCAAAAGTGAACTCCCACCCTGCATGGCCATCGCAGCTCTGGGCAGGTCTTTCCAGAGCTGCCTGGCTGGACCTCGGTGCCAAGTTCAAAAGACTGGCAGGGAGGCTGGTTCTGGCTCAGCTGCCCAAGATCTGCAGAGGGTCCCGCTGGGGAACGGGAGGGTGGCTCCCAGGCCGTGGGGTGAATGAGTGTGGGGGCCCATCCCCAGAGGTGGGGTGGTCTGTGGGTCTGCCCTGTCCCTCGGCAGAAGCAACCACAGTGAGGAGAGGTGCTGATCACCCTCTGAAAAGCACTGCTGTTGGGTGGGAAGGGTTTCCGCTTCCTCCAGCAGGTGCCTGGGCCTTTCCTGCCTCAGCTGGGACTGTGACCCAGGATTCCCCCGTCCCTCAGCCAAGTCCCGTCCTTGCCTGCTTGCCTGGCCCCTGGCAGGTGGGGGGGGGGCTTTCACTGGGTTGGGTGCGCAGAGAGGAGGATCTGGGGAAGAGAAAGGCCTTTCTGTGTGTCCGTGTGAGGCCAGCCTCTGCCCCGCTTCAAAGCCCCTTACCTGGCGGGTGGGGCTGTTCTGTGGTGTATTACCTCCTCTTCAGTAACAGCCCTCAGCTGGGAGGATGCAGGATCCCCAGGTGTTGGCTGGCCAACTTTCTGCTGATCCCTTCCAGCAGCCTTCCATTCATGGCATGGAAGCGCTCTGCTGGAGCCCACGTTCCTAAACCTTTGCTCTGCTCGCCTCAGTCTGTCAAGAATCTGCTCGAGACTCGCCTCGCCTGGGAGCAGGCGGCCAGGACGTTCCCTTTAGTGGCAGCAGCTGCTCTAAAGGGAGAAGTTGGGGGTCCTGCCAATGAGCTATCTGGTGGCTGGCACAACTGGGGCAAAAGCAAAGCACTGCTCCCCCCCCCGGGCAGGGCAGTGGAAGTAGTTGTGCTTCCTCCCTCCCTCCCTCCCTCCCTCCTGCATTGGCCTGGCCGCCCTGCAGCCCATGCAGAGACCTCAGGGTGGGAGGACACAAGGCGTCCTGCATCTTGAGAATCACGCCCCTTCTTTGCTTGTTTCCTCTTCCAGTTCCTGGTCCTCCTGCTGGGATCAAAGCGGTGCCTTCCTCTGCCAGCAGCGTTGTGGTGTCCTGGCTGCCACCCTCGAAACCCAACGGAGTCATCCGGAAGTACACCATTTTTTGCTCCAGCCCGGGCTCTGGCCAGCCGGTGAGCAGCTGTGATGGGGCTGCTGCGGGAGTGGGGACATCTGTGCCTTAGCTGTCTAGCCGGGGGGGGAGGGGGCAGCAAAGCACCATCCCTTCCCTGAAGAAAGGACCTGCTAGAGAGAACGGCCCCGGACGCTTTGCTCCGGGGATCCTCGGCCCCAGGTGGCAGTCAGGAGTTGCCGGGAGCAGCCCTCAGTCAGTTCTGGAAACCAGGATGGGGTGAGGAAGAAGGATGTGATAGCGGGGCAGACCTCTGTCCCATAGTGCTTGTCCTCTCTCTCTCCCTCTGGCCACTGTTTCTCTTTCACCACATCCCATAACTTACAGGCTGACAAATTTATCTTGTTGCTTATTTTACAAAGCAGAAACAGACTTAAATGGCCACCATTAATTTACTAATTCAACTTAAATCCTGCCTTGTGGCTAACTCCGATAATGCACGAATCTATATTTAAAAGATAAAACATTTAAAAACACACCCGTAGAAGTCAAAGATAAATGGCATTCATGAGTTAAATCTTACTTTATCAGAATAATCCACTTGAAATATTTCTTTGCCAATTGGTGGGGAGGCATCAAGCGCTTACTTCACCTCCTGAGCAGGCAGTTCCCCTGTGCGTTTCCTCCAAGGCACCCGAGCAGAGTATCCTCCTGGCTCCACCTGCTTTGCCTTGCCTGTCGAAGGTAGAGGTCAGATTGTCTCCTCCAGGGCAGGTCATCCAGTGATGGCCATTTCAGGGTTCCCTAGGATGGCCTGGGCTTTTGCTAGAGAGCTGGATGCAGAGGCCAAACTGGGAGACTGGTCAGTTTTCACTCTGAGCTCTGTCAGAGCAGGCTGAGGCAAGAGTGCCGCTCTGCAGGGAAGTCTTTGGAGAGGGAATGGTGCTCCCGTGGGGTGGCCGTTACCCTTTGGCTAGGCTGGCCATATATGCTTCCTACTTCGGCAGCTGCAGGGGGCGGAATCAGCTAGGATGGTCTGCCTTAGGCCTTTATGGATCTTACTGATTTTCAAGCATGCTTCGGGGATTTCCCGGTGCTTTGGGAGGCAGTTTGACCACATGCTTAATCGAAGCATGGCTACTTCTGTGCCCTTGTTCCACCAGCGGAATTGGTTGAGGCTATCCCAGCTGTGTTGGGTTGAAAGAAGCACCTTCAAGCCACCATGACTTTTTTCGGCTAGTCACGTTGCAGATGAAATTGCTCATGCTTTCTTGGAGTTAGTTGACAGCTGGGCAAAGTCTAATGAGGTGCAAAGGTCAGTGCCTTGCAAAATCGTGTGGTGTTCATTTGAACTATGAACTCCAGGGAGGTTGTCAGGGTCTCCTGTGGGATGAACTCTGCCCCGTGCAGGCAGGCTGGCTCCTTGTCCCTCTGGGCTTTTCAGAGTTGCCAGGGAGGATATGAGGAGCTGGATTGGAGAAAGGACAAATGCCTCTTTGAAGGAGGGAATGGTATTGCCAGTCTGAATATCTGCTTCTATCTCTACATTTCCCTTCTTTGGGAAGACTGTAGAGAAGGTGGTGGGGCCCTGGGGTGAAGTGGATTACTTCGACTGTGCTCAGGCCTGGACATAGGACAGAAGTTGCATCGGTTACTCGTGTGGATGACCTGTGGCAGGACCGTGAGGAAGGGTGATCATTCTGGATTTCTCAGCAGCCTCCAATACCACTTGTCATGATAGCCTTCTGGAAATTAGTGATGCTCTTTGGCAGTTCCTCTGCCCTTTCCTGAGCTGGTAGTGCTAGGTTTGGTGGTTGGAAGAAGGCCATTCCAACAGGGAGAGCCTCTCACCCATTTTTTTAAACATATACATGCAACTTGCGGGGGAAATAATCTGTTGGTTCGGGGTGAGGTCTCACCAGCTACTGATTTCCACTCTCCAGCTGAGCAGGAGATGGCATCCTGACCCCATGGTGATGAAAGATTGCAGAAAGATGGAACCCTCTGACTCTAGGTTCCATCTCTGGCTCTAGAGTTGCATCCCCCCTGAAGGAGCAAGTGCACAGTCTGAAGTTTCTTCTAGGCCTGCAGCTCCTGAATTAGCAGATAGAGACTGTGGCCGGAAGAGTTTTGGCCCAGCTTCAGCTGAGGTGCTAGGTGTGGCCTTTTTGGGAGCAGAGGTCTTTGCCGACAGTGACTCATGCCATTATCATCTGGCATTTGGACTACTGTAATTTCTCCAGCATGAAGGCTAACTTGAAGATAATTCAGAAGCTACAGCTGACGCAAAAGACAGCTACCCACAAAGTAACAGGGGAGATCAGTTATTGTTGGTTAATAGCAGTGTTGTGAAAGTTGTCCCAGTTGTCAGTTTGTCTCTGGGCCAATCCAGGGTGCTGGTGATGACCTGTAAAGCCCTTTATGGCTCACATCCAGGTTGCATTCAAGACTGCCTGCTCCAAGTAGAATCTACCAGTACCAGCAGGCCAAGCGGGCACGCTGCAGCCTGCACCCCCAGATGTTAAGGATGTGGGCCCAGAGGGTTAGGTGATCGGGTCAGACCTTTTAGTTGTGACAGCTTCACGCTGAAACAGCTTTCCATCTGAGGTTAGGATGCTCCTGTGGACCCCTAGAAGGGCTGTGAAGATGGTCTTCTCTTGTAGAGACTTCAAGACAGCTGTCAGGGAATGCCTGGTTTCAAGCTTGATGTATTACAGTATGGCGGCTGAGATATGATGACTTTGCAATCCTTGTGCTTCATCATTTCATTGTTTTTAGGAGGCTGTGAGCCGTCTTGTAATAAATAAATAAAATACAATAGAAACATTTTCTACAGAACGGGCTGCTGCTCCTTTGGTCTGTGGCTGCTGTGAGGGTAACTTCTGGTCCATGCAGAACATGGACTTCCTTGTTGCACCAGCGGCAGCAGCAACACGTCAGTGGATTCAGTCCACTGGAGATCTTAGTTGGCCCCCAAAGCTTCCTGGGAAAATTTGGGGTCCGTTAGGTTGGGAAGGAGGGCGGGGACAGGATTTGCTTATCAAAATCTCTTTCTGCAGTTCATTTTAACATCTGAGCCCTTCGTTTCCAGGGCAACGTAATCTTTTCATCAAAGCAACTGGTGAAGCTGCTGGGATCTGATATTGTTTCCTTGGCATCTTGTCAAGGCTGCCATTTGGCTTAAAATTATGTATGCAATGTAATATTTATGCTTGCATATTTAAACATTGGTTAGATTTAAGTGTACTGCCTGTGGATCTCCAATCCATGTTCCAAGTATGCCAAGCCAAAGCTGTTTGGGCACAGAGGTGAGACATTTGTCTACCAGTCAGGCTTGGCATTGGCCTGGATGGAGCTTCCATGGCAGCTGCATGTGCCCACTGGTGGCAGCTCTGGGAAATCTTTGCAGCCTCGAGTCTGGAAGTGAAGGCTCCCCCGAGTGGCTGGTTGCACCTGAGGGGCTTGTCTGGAGGAGTCTCCCTTTCTCCTGACCCAAGGGAGAGGTCCAGATATTGAGAGCTTGTGGGCTCAGGCCTGCCGGCCTGCCTGGCTCCACAGGGTTCCACCTCGGGCCACAGTTTAAAAGTGGTCTGGCCAGGCAACTTGGATACTCTGTCAAGCCGGCAATCAGTGCAAGTCACAGCAGCCTGAATCCTCTCCTGTGTGGAATTTTCTCTCTGTTTGCCCCAGGGGTCAGAAACAGAGCATGCTGTGAGTTGTAATAGGATAGCAAACCCATAAATAGGCACCATCCGTGAGCTCCAGGCCTGTAATGTAAGCCTTGTGCTCTGGTGGTCCAGCGGACAGGGTGATGCCTCCTTGCCCAGCACCAGAGCTGCAGAGACATTTCCCCCCTCAAGACTCTGCTCTAACTTCTTGAAAACAACAGAGATTGGGGCTATTTCGCTCATTCATGAACAAGCCCAAGTTAGAGGTGAAATTTGAGGTAGCCACCCTTTTTTTTTTGGTTATTGCAAAAATAGGCAGTGAAGAACTCCAAAAGTATCTGCTTGGCTTGAAGAAATGAAGAGTAAATAATAAATGTGGTTCATTGTAGGAAGAATAGCGTGTCTGCACAAATGTAAGAGATCTTGCAGAACTTGAGGAAAGCAGTTAGGGACGAGCTTCTCTTCTGAGACCAGAAACCAATGGAGTTGGCAGAGACTTCAGACAGAAAAAAAGGGGAACGCAGGTGTCCATCAGCTAGGGCCCCTGAAACCAAGATGGGCAAATCTGGCAATGGCTCACTGTCCTTGCTAGTTAGGGTGACTAATGCTGCCTCTGGGTGGCAGCTGTTGGGGAAGTGGACTTCTGAGAGGCCTCTGTTGGGTAAGCAGGAAACCAGTCCCAGGTCTGATCCAGCTGCAGGGCTGCTCTCCTTCTGTTCTTCAGGCTCCCAGCGAGTACGAAACAAGTCCAGAGCAGCTGTTCTATCGCATTGCACACCTGAACCGTGGGCAGCAGTACCTGCTCTGGGTTGCAGCTGTCACCTCAGCAGGGCGTGGCAACATGAGTGAGAAAGTCACCATTGAGCCTGCTGGAAAAGGTTTGGCAGAGGAATGAGGGGAGCCTCTTGGAGTTGGGAAGCTGGGGTGCTGTGGGCCAAGTGGACATGCCTTCTATAATGCCACCCCTCCCCCTCTTTTTCAATTCCAGCTCCAGCCAAGATAATCTCATTTGGCGGCACGGTCACCACTCCGTGGATGAAAGATGTGCGACTGCCATGCAGTTCAGTGGGGGAGCCTCTCCCAGCTGTGAAATGGACTAAGGACAGGTATAATTTTACCAGGGGGGTGGTCCCCGAAAGATCTCTGGCCAGCCCCTACCTTTCTTGTAATCGCGTCTTCTTCTGCAGTGATGATTCAGCTATTCCAGTCATTTTGGATGGTCATCGCCAGATCCAGCCCAACGGCACCCTGATTCTGCGCTCCGTGAAAGCAGAGGACTCTGGCTATTACACTTGCACTGCAACAAACACCTGGGGGTTTGACACCATCATCGTCAACTTGCTAGTGCAAGGTGAGCCAGTAGAAGGAGCTCTTCTCTTCCCCATCCTTGGCTTTGTCTTTAGGACAGGGAAGCTGGGCAGCTCATAGCCCAAGTGACTGGCCAACGTGACTCCCTACCTTCCCTGCCCCTGGAGTGCCCAGCTTTGGAAGCTCCAAGAGCTGAATGTGGAGGAGCTGGGTCAGAAGGAAGCTGACCCAAATGGCCTGTCTTACCAGTCCCTCCAGACCAGCCCCGGCTGATGGTGTCCAAGACTTCGGCTTCATCTATCACCTTGGCCTGGATCCCCGGTGACAATGGTGGCAGCTCCATCCGAGGCAAGTTGAAGGGGGGGATGCTGCACTTGATGGGGTAGGTGGAGGGCGCATGGCTGTTCCTGAATGTCTGCCCAACTCTGTCTCCCATTTCTGAAGGGTTAGGCCTTCCTTCTCTGGGTTTGCACTGTTAGTCCTCTGGGCGCAGCTCCCTGCTGTTGCTGTGGCCAAAGGTTTACCAAGGGAGGCTGGTATTGGGTGCAGGCATTCTTTTGAAGAGCACCAAATGTATCCTTGGCTCTGTGAAAGACTTCTCAGAGCTTCATTCGAGGTAGGATGTATGTGTGTGTGTGAGAGAGAGCGAGAGGAAGAGAGAGGAAGAGAGAGAGAGAATAGGTGGACGGGCAGAGCTCTAAGCAGCTCTGAGCGTAGCCTATTTAGGAAGATCGGGGAAGGGCCGGCTGTTCCCTCTTACCTGGGCTCAGGTTCCTTGTCGTGCCTCCCTGATCAGCTTGTTTAGGGATGAGGAGGATGAAGATCTACCCTCCATTTTAGTTTCACAACAGGCCCTTGAGTTTAGTAGGGTTGAAAGGTTGTAGCTGGTGCAAGAATCTGTGTGGAGACTTCAACATGGATTTCCCTGGTCTGGGTCTGACTCCTTTAGTGAATCTGTGTTGGGCCAGTGCGTTGCTCACCCCCTTCATGTGCCCTCAGGGAAACAATGGCAGCCCCAGAACAAGGAGGGAATGGCGTCTTCACATTGCAATTAATTAAACACATGGAAATAATTACAAGGCAGTCTCCCTAGCCAGCAGCATTTGCTTGGGTGGCTTGATGTGTTTCCTTTTAATTGAAAACAGCCAGATACAGCCAGAAGTGCTGCAGTGCAACTGATGGGTGTAGAATCACCTGCCTGTACAGTTTCCCTGTTTGGTTGGGGCGCTGGAGAGCGGTGTGTGACTTTAAAGATGAGGAAGCAATCGAGGAGGAGGAGGAGGAGGAGGAGGAGGAGGAGGAGGAGGAGGAGAGCTGGAAGAATGATGGGGACAGAGGAGCACGACTGCACTGAGCCTGTGAGGCCAGAGTGGGAGGCTGTTTTCTACTTCAAGGCTGGGGCTTCATGGCGTGAATAGGTGGGATCAGATCCCCGACTGCCCAAATGAATCTCTCCCTCTCTCTCTGGCACAAGCATACATGCACAGGCGCTCACACCCTTCATTCGTAGCGTGCACAGATGGGCCCTGAGGCAGTGTTGCACCTTCATGTTTGATGAGGCATTTTGTTGTTCTGATTAACTTTGCTTATCGAGCTCTGAATTTGCCTTTTGCCAAATGGGAGACGGCTGTTTTAGGAGAATGGCCATCCAGCTGAAGGTTTGCCATTTCTTCCTTTGGAGGAGACCCTGTGGTCCTGGAGCCCCTGGGCGTGGGGTGGGGGAGGCTTCAGGGACCTAAACCTGGGCTGTGAGCATTGCTGCCTGCATGAACTGTGGGGATGAGGAGATTGCAGGGGCTCCCCCGCTGCACCTGCTGGGTGGACTCCTCTTCTCCTACTTGCTGCATGCCCACAGATGCCTTTGCTGCACCCCTGCAGGCTTTGTGCTCCAGTACTCAGTGGATAATAGTGAGGAGTGGAAGGACGTATTAATTGCTTCCACAGAGCGTTCCTTCAAACTGGGGAGCCTGAAATGTGGGACCTGGTACAAGGTGAAGCTGGCAGCCAAGAACAGTGTTGGAGCCGGCCGCATCAGCGAAATCATCGAGGCCAAGACCCATGGCAGAGGTGACT